AAAATAGAGGGGGGGGGGAGAAATAAACACCACCAACCACTCTTCCACCCATCCATCCCCTGTGTCCTCCTCGAAAGAGAATAACCCCAACAAACAAGCATTGCAACAATTAGTACAAAGAAGGCAAATAAAAGGCGTTCGACACAACGACCTACATTTCTAACGTAGTCTCATTTCTTTCATAATTCTTTCCCTATTCACTCTGTCAACAAACTGCTCAGATTATTCCAGCGAGTCACCCGCCTTGCGGGTTACAAGCAACTTTTTCTTTTTGATTTTAAGTTTCCTTTCAATACATTCTCTCAAAGCGCACCCCACAACCTTTACTTAGCGGGAACTCGTTAAGTGCTGCTAGCATGGCTTCATATCCTTTAAAAAAGTGAAAGCTCTTGAAATAGATCGAATACCTCGAATGAGTTATGAGGCTAATTTATCATTGCATTATTATGCCAGTAATATACCAGTTTCTAGAAACCAACTAACCTAAAGTGCGATAGACGTAGGTGGTGGGAAGGCACTACTGGTAGGTCCTACTTCTTCCCTTTCCCCTCTGTTGTTTCATTACGTTTCATAAGTTTTACTTCAGCACTAAATCACAGATCTTTCCTTTTAAAAAATGAAAACAAAACAAAACCAGACAACAACAACAACAACCCAAAAAAAGTTTGTTTTTTTAAAAAGGGATGAACGTAGAAAAATATAGCAAGTTACTTGTAGGCAATACCGGCACAAATACATTGGTAATATAACGCTTTCGCCTTTCACGCAGAAGATATTTCCATTCCCAAAAGTAGAAGTTTACTTTATCAAGTGTCTCCGTATTTCGGCTGGGATACTGTAAAGGCCCTATCTCGCTAATCCTATGCTAGCCCTGACTGGTAGGGCCAACGTAATCCTCCTCCTAAATGTATTCTAAACTGTAAGAATTGGTACATAAAACTTTGTAATTATTAAAATAATATGCAACAAACAAAAACAAAATGTACTCATACAGCAACAACTCAAGCATACTGTTCATCCATTTTACCAGCAACTAAAGTTCTCAAAGGAGCAAAAACCATTCAGATCCGATTTGCCATAATGCACCCTTTTTAGTTGCTTGTGTTCTGCACAGATACTTGAGTGGAACTGACTGCGCTAGAGGGGGAAAGAACCAGGGATTGGTTGATGTATTGTGAAACATTCACCTCGAAAAACCAATGAAGCGTGTGAGGGTCTTTCTGTGGTGTTGCTTTGCTGCCATAGTAATACAAAGTAAACAAACGCTTCTATATAAGAGCAGTCCTTTTTAAAGACAAAGCGTATCTATTTATCTATCTATCTATCTGTCTATCTATCTATC